TCTAAGATCCCCTTGGTTTGATAATCTTATTAACGAATTGATGAAAAGCCTACGATAAACGCCAACCCCCTAAAATTGTGCTTATTTTGTACCGTCTCAAATCCTTTTCTCACGGAACGTTTTCATAATTGTACGTAAGGGTAACCTTTGTGTGACGTCGAAGGAATTTGATAGTTTGACTTGAGTATCTGACATCGACTCAAATGTTCAAATACAAAAGATAGTTGTCTTTCCTTCTGGCACCGGGCCTGTCCATAAATACACTACTAGCCTGTACTCTTATGCAACGAACGGTACTGAATGAAGATCCAGTCAACATGTGGTGTGTTCTGTTTGTTGTGTTCGTCTCGTACCTGAGGTTTGCTGGTGGCTCGGAGGTGAGACTCATTGATGGAAAGCACGAGTTTGAAGGTCGGGTTGAGGTGAAATACGACGACGAATGGAGAGCAGTTTGTGACCATGGATGGAACATGAAGGCGGCCAATGTTGTTTGCAGAATGCTTGGATATCCGGATGCATTGCGCTATACAAAAGGGTGAGCATACGTGTGTTTGTGGGTCATCTAAAGTCATCCTCTGTTACTCTGTTAATATGTTGTGATGATATTGTCTGTTGACGTGGGTTAACAAACTTCCTCAGCGCACAGAACCCACAGTAACAGACAGAGTGTCATTTTTCTGTCATTTTTGCGCGAGCGAAAACAAACGCGAGGCAGGAGCGAGGACAGCGCGAAGGGCGAGTCGCGCACCTCGCGTTCGTCTCGCACTCGCCACGCTTGTCGTGCAGCCCGAAATTATGTCCGATCATGTGGAGTTGTTTATGAAGCTTCAATTTTGGACAAATGTATTCCATAAAATTTGTGCTTAACCGCTCGATATCGATCAAGGCCAAAACTCTCCTGCCTTTTGAAAAGGAATTTCTATTCTCCATACCTCAGTTAACACTGTTCTAAAGAAAAGCTCATCGTAAACCAAGGAAAACAGAGGGGTATGAGTAACTTAGCTAAATAGGCTAAGTAAAAAATAGTGCTCAGTTAAAAATCGTTAATTGATAATGGTTCATGGTGTTAGAATTTTTAACATATTTTGTTTTATGTACATCTGATAGATCGCAGAAATTCATAATGTCGGTTTGCCTTAGAAGTTAATGTCATTCTGCTTCATCAACTGAGTCTAGGCGGCACGGAAAGTCCCGAATCTCTAAAGAAAAACATTTGTCTTTCAAATCGGCTTTCTTAATGCTCGCAGTGTCAACAAATGCTTTTCATTTTCATTTTTTACGTTACCGCGTTCGTTCCAATAGCGTAGCTCCATCTCTCTGTCTATAAACCACACATTACCCACAATTCCTTGATACGCCCTGACAAAAGGCTCACAGTGAAACCTTTGGCTTTAGAATCTCTTTACAGAGGCCAATTTACCATATACCCGCACTAACGCAACACCACAGTTTCTTCAGAAACTTACCCCTTCATCGATTTGGAAAGTAGATGGGAGAGTGTTCCTTGTTAGTATAACTTACCAAACAGTATCCGTACCAATTTTTAATAAGTTACTTAAAATGTTCTCAGACATCTAGCCTTTGGTCGCGGAAATGGAGAATTTTGGTTAGATGACGTCAGATGCGGAGGAAGAGAATATGACATCGAGAGATGCTCACACAGAGACTGGGGACGACACAATTGTCGTTCAACCAATCAGGCTGGTGTTGTATGTAAGTTACATCGAAGTGACATAATCTTGAAGCCTGAGCCATCATCGGCCAGGGGAGAGGTATGAAGAAACTCAAGTCAGTTATTCCTTTAGAACTAGGAAGATTAGGATTAGGGGCCTTCGCATTTAATAACGATTTCCAAGCCATAATGAGCATTCAATTCATTCAGATACACCTGTGCCTCTCAGTACTACCTGTGGTGCACTCATCCCTAGACATGGCTAGTTCCAAGCCCGCTCGCCGAATGAAGGACCTCTTTCAAGTACCAGATAAGGCTGAGATTACAGAGAGAATAAAAACATTTGAACGGCGCAACGGACCTACCATCCTACTTAGTTATCACATCTTTTCATCAACACTTTGACCCTTAAAAGTGACTGACATCTTATTTCTCCGTACATTATCACACCAGCAGCATTTATAAAGGTCACAAGAATAAAGGAAATGATTTCCAACTGAAGAAGCTTCTGATTGTTAAACAAATTATCCTTGTCAGCACCATGAGAAGTGTATGGAGAACGTGGAGAATATGCATACTCATGTTTGGGTGTAATGATAATTTCTATATACCTATATATCTAGTATCTATCTAGTATCTATAAAATTTAACCAGGTATTAATAAAGTCCTCACTCTTAGCATGCAATTAAATCAGATATGTAGCTCATTTAAGTTACGATTTCGCTTCTTCTGTTACTGAGGTGACACACGTGAACCTAAAGTTACAAGGTCCAGTTGTTGATGACTACATATCAGAAGGTGTTGTCCAGGTGGAGCATGAGGGAAAGTGGGGTTATATTTGTCCTTCTCAATGGACTCAACATAACTCGTTCGTGTTGTGCGGTCAACTGGGATTTCCTAATGCTGAGAAACTTGAGTCCTACACTGAAACTATTGACAGTTTGGACCCTTTTTATTGGCTGGGCCAAGTCACGTGCATAGGATGGGAGTCATCCATTGTGTCATGTGATCATGCAGGTTGGGTTCGCCACAACTGCGAGATTGGAGGAGCCCTGAAGATCAAATGCGCGCGCAAAAATATCACGCAGGTAAGTAAGCCGTTTGGTCGCTATATCTTTTGGCAAGAACGATCGTCATTATATTCATTTGATTAAAAACAAAACAAAGCAAAACAAAGCAAAAAAAAAACAAACAAACAAACATCAACAAATTCGGTTCCAAGTTTGACTTGAACAGGTGATTAACATGGTTGACAAATTGACTTTTGCACATTGTAGCCTCAAGAGGTTCGACTTCGAGGTGGTGCCTTCGTTTCAGAGGGGCGAGTGGAAATGAAGTACCGAAGTGAATGGAGAACCATATGTGACGACCACTGGACACTGAAGGAAGCTAATGTAATCTGCAGGTCTTTAGGCTATGGGTCAGCGGCGATAGCAGCCCACAATGCGTATTTTGGAAGAGGTATTGGAAAGGTAAAATTCTTTAATATTTGTACTTAAGTTCGCGAGGGAAATTAAGTCAAATGACTTGTTTTAAATACATAACATCAATTTCGATTTTATAATCTCTTGATTCATCGGATCCCAAACTGGCTTTTGTTAGTTTGCAGTGTTGTCATTAGGAGCCGGTAGGCGGCGGAAACCCGCCGGCTGTCAGGCCATTTTACGCCGCCTACTTTATGACCAGAAATTTTGTAATAGTGAGATTTGTCTTCCCAAGAAATCTTTTTTGTAAATCTGAGACTTACTTTAGTGATCATTCTCTTGTATATATCTGATGTTATGGAAGAAGGAAAAAACTGAAAACTTGTACAGGAACTATTGTGCAAAAACTATCAGTGGTGTTGACAGTTTACTTGAGTAATATAAATGCGTCACCGTCATAAAGCACGAAACCATCGCAATTCACATGTGCGTTGATGCTTCAAAAATCGAAAATGATGGCCAGCGAAGAAAGCGATCTCTTCGCGATTACTTGTCAAGTCAATCGAAGAAGACAAAATCTAGCAAAAAAAGAGAGCCACCAAGATAAGAGGTAGTTTCGATCGCTGTCAAATATTATAATTGTGAAGCTCCT